CTAACTAATATTATATTATCTGATATTGCGGGTGTGCACACACAAACACTTGCCTGTAAGATTGCGACATCGCGGATATTATTGAGGGGTTTATTGAAGATTACTTCGAATCCCTTTGGAAGTTGATGGATGTTTATCTTAAGTAACTGAATTCCTTTTCTATTTGCATATTATTATCAGGGTATTTCGGTGAAATCATGTCTTTATTTCAATTTTTGAAACAGTCAGAAATTGACTCTAAAACCTGAAAAAAATTCTTATGAAAATTTTATGGTATGGTATGGTTCCACCTTGAGTGCCCCAGAATGTCGACTCAAGCTCGGTCGTTCAAGTTTCTACTGTTGAATAAATGATGGCATATATCAAAGGAATTTGCTGTCATCTTATACACGATCACAAAAGTATTCTTTTTGCATTAATCTTATGACGCAACACTATAATGTGTCTGTGATTTTTTTTTTGAAAGCCCGACCTTAATCAGGTTGGTCGAATCGAAATGCTTCCTTATCATATAGTTAAAGGCAAATGTTTTCCTTTCACTTTCATTTTCAAAAGTTTTTTGCGTTTTTTTGTTTTTTTTTATGGGGGGGGGGGTCCTGTTAAAGTTTCCAAAAGGTTACTCATTGGCCATTTTAGAGAACCATCTTTTGCTTCTGCTGTTTTTAGCATTGACAATTGGTAAAAATATAGTGATTTAGTTTTTTTTGTATAAAATGCAAAGTACTAGTACTTCTTTGTTTAAATTTTGCTACATTTTACACTAATTTCACTCTTGCTTCATTTTCCAGATAATAAGCATCTAAAACGCCTTCAAACAATTCTTAAACGTTATATAACTCATGTTTGCCCTATTTAAAGAATGAACTATTTATCAGTTTCCGAGGCATAATGTGCCTTTTAGAAAACAATTGTTTCAATATATGCAAACGAAAACAATATTATAGATTATTTATTTGATGCCTGCATTCTTTCATACAAAAAGTTCACTCGGTGTAAACTTAGAAACTCTGAAGAAAATAAAGAAAACACGGAAGTTGAAATATCTGTACGATTAATGCATAATCTACGTTTCCTTAGATCCATAACCCTTGCTTTTATACGTGCTTTATTTTAGTTTAGGAATTTTTGCTTCTGCTTTCTAAAGCGCTGATCCACGCGCGATACTGATTTGAAGGGTTCGGTAATAAGCTCGGATTGTAAACAGAAACATAAACTCAGCTGGAGGCCAGCGTTCCCTCCGCAGGTTTCATGATTGTATTCATTAGGTACCTCTGTTACGATTTGTACCATACGTTATGTTGGTTTATGTACGTCAGCGCATACTCAGCTTGGTACCAGAGATTAGCCAGGTAACGCTGGGTCGAATCTTTGATAATGAGTAGAAATTCAACTTTGAAAATTTAAACCTCTCATCAGTTCTAATTTATGTGTCTGTCTCGGATGATTGTCTCGAAATATGAAAGTCGTTTGCAGATCCTAGTTTGACACACAAAAACATTGTTATCATGTGCCAAATTTCATTTGGAAGATTTCTAGATAGAAAAAAATTGTTCCCCAGACTTACTTAAAATCTTAATGGCTAATAGCATCTCGTGTTTGTTGAATGTAACATCGCAGACGAGACATTGAAAGACATACTAGGAACGTGTAATAATCTATAATCACAACATTAGACAAATTATTGATATAAGACGTGCAGCATAACAAACCGTTTACTTTTAAATTATTTGGCGCGAAAATGTTACAAATAAGTGAACGCTATAGACGAAGATAAAGTCGTCTGCATAAATACAGATGATGCGCTGCTAGAACGCTTATGTTCAATTACCGAGTTATTTCATGCTCAAATTTATGGCGAAAATATTAATATTTTATTTTCACGCCGCCTGCGTCAGATTTGGAGATAATCTTATTAAGATATCAAAGTGTCGCATTACAATATGATGTTGTAGGGTTTTTATTCATGACTATAATCATAAAATATTGACAGGCGGTAATTAAACCCTTAGAGCGTTTACATATTTTATATATTAATCTTTAATATGTTTGAACTAGGTACGATATGCTATTCCAAATTATTTATTGCGGGAAAGTTTGCCACATTATTTGCAGTAATTGGAAATTGAAAATTAAAGTATTACCTTTGAAACGCATCGATGATATTTACTTTAGGAATGCAGCGATTACTTTAAAACGTTTTGCTGTTTAATGGCAAAATAAAGTAAACCATTTCGTTATATTGCTTTTATTATGTGAATTATTCGAACAGATAGGTTACGTTTAAGGTATAAAGAGGATAATTGGTTATTTGGTTTTGAGGGAAAATAATACATCAAAATTAGATATATATTGTTCTGTAGTGAAATTTTAAACTTGTCTAAGAAGTGAAAAATTTAAAAATTCAAGGGATGTAAAATGCTTTGAATTAGTATTTATCCGCGAGTCATCTATTAACATCATTTCAAAATAACAAAATCCGCCCATTTTTATTAGTCAACAAAAATGATTTTAAAATTATCTTATCTATAACGGAGTGAAAGATTCAAGCAAGCCTTTCATAATACTAAACATATTGTATTTGTACCTGTAACGTAAAAGCTGCCAAACGATGATGCAGACGAACTAACAAATGGTGCAAAATAAAGTAAACCATTTCGTTATATTGCTTTTATTATGTGAATTATTCGAACAGATAGGTTACGTTTAAGGTATAAAGAGGATAATTGGTTATTTGGTTTTGAGGGAAAATAATACATCAAAATTAGATATATATTGTTCTGTAGTGAAATTTTAAACTTGTCTAAGAAGTGAAAAATTTAAAAATTCAAGGGATGTAAAATGCTTTGAATTAGTATTTATCCGCGAGTCATCTATTAACATCATTTCAAAATAACAAAATCCGCCCATTTTTATTAGTCAACAAAAATGATTTTAAAATTATCTTATCTATAACGGAGTGAAAGATTCAAGCAAGCCTTTCATAATACTAAACATATTGTATTTGTACCTGTAACGTAAAAGCTGCCAAACGATGATGCAGACGAACTAACAAATGGTGCACTAACAAAAAAACCAACAACATTTTACCCGAGAAACAACAAATCAGCGGCAAGTGACAGCTTTCCGCTTAGACAAAATGACAGCATCATTTTTCTTTCCAGCATTAAATACATCTTAAGACACTACCACACATAGCCTAAACTTTTGTTACTTTACTTTCTACTTCGAAACAAAAAAATTCATTAGTTGGGGTGTTTTTCGTCGACTTAAGCTTGTTTTTGCTGTAAAGATTTAGTACTGTATCCCAGCTGTTTTGTGTATAAATAATGTCGGGCTTATCAAAGTTCGACAAGGCGGAAAACAAGCGCCGGTAAAATACAGGTTCAAGCTTCCTACTTCGTCATGTATAATAAGAATACTCATATATTATCTGCTGATATGTTTCACATTGTACAACCAACTACCGTTATATGACTTCTCGTTTTATTGCGGCGCCATGTTCATTCTCTACATAAAAACGTCCCTAGTTTTTGTTATTGCTTTTTTCATTTCTGTCTATTTTCTTGTTTCTTTGAAGAATATTTCTGGCATTTATTCTATATATCATGTCCATTGCATAAACCATGTGTATGTTTCTGAGGACGAACATTTTAGGCATTCGGTTTCTATAACGTAGTATCTGTGATACAAGCAAATATTTTCAGTTAATATCGCACATTGTAAATGACATATTTCATGAAAATTTATCTTTCGAAAATCATCCTTATTGACTCAAGCGAGAATGCGCCTATCTTTTTAATGTTGTTTTCGGATTCTTTGAGTAGGTTCATAGTGTTATGCTGGCATACTTAAAAAATAATATCAAAACATTATTTTCGCATGATATTTGTTTTAATTCAGACGTACTTTTGTATAATCTCAACAGATTTATAAGTATTATCTACATCTCTTAACTGTAGTTTGTGGAATACCGGAATGGTTAAGTAATCACTTCACTATCTTTATAGCATCTCTGTGTTTTTTCATCCCCCGGGACCCACACAACATACACCATTAAATTTGAAACAGAATTCTTTCCACTTGATAGAGATGTTAGAGCATGAATGGATTTTAACATTTCATCTAAACATCCTGGGATCCCTCCGCTATATCCTTATTGCAAAAACTCAATATGTAGTATACAAACAAGATTATAATCAGCACAAACTACCGTCCTCTTGCATCAAAGAGCCTCAAAAATCCTCTATACCTTTGATTATCAACACAAATTCCATGGTTCTTAACTTCTGTCCTATGGAGCGCCTAACATGCATCCGTTTCCAGGCTGATCTATCTAACTTAGGTTTTATTTGAATACATACTGTTTTGCCTTTTTTAATTCCGAGATTAAGCTTTCAACAATTGAGTAATTTATTTTAAAAACTTAGGTTAAGTCATTAGGTCGTTTGTGATATTAATTATGAAATTGCTTGCAACAGAAAAATTTAATGATGAAACTTATTTACGTGATTTGACGTTCATGGCTATGGAAATATGCTTCTATATAAGTCTATAAAAGAAAAAAGTGATGAGAGAAAAAATGCCAATTCACAAAATTTAATACAAAAAGAATTTCCATTTCGATTGATATGAAAAATATTTTCAATGCCATTGTAGTTTTTTTTACATAATTTTTGAATTACATTGTATTTATATTTTGATATTTTTTGAATGGGCTGTTCAAAATTCAAAGCTTGGCAAATCTTTATACAAATTCAGCAGGTTAAGGGCTAACCCTTTAATCTAGCTGAATTTAAGTAACTTTTTTTGAATGTTTAAGGCATTTCAATATAACATCAATGTAATTGTGTAGCCAACAGTAAGCCCTATACTTTTAACTAGTGCTATAGTGGCTATGCAAATATAAAGATATATAGTATAATAAATATGATTGTATCTAGAAGAACTTAACAATATTTTTAATTTGTATTTTAAAGTGTGATTTTTTTATTATATTTCAGTGAGCATGTGGCCTCATTGCGCTGTAGCTCAGTGTGCAGAAGTGGACACATTAATAAGCAGCGCCGAGGAATGTTTCCAGCCCTACGGTACTCAGAAACTTTACGTTGACCGCAGTGAACAAAAGTTATTCTCTGGAATAGATATAGAAATACTCCGTGCTTACTGCAGGTAATAAATAATTCGTTAGAAAAATAGTTTTCCCTGATAAAAAAAAATAGTTTGTTGGTAAGTCATTTTGTTTGAAATCTGAATAAATTGCACGGTATTGAACCACTTCATTTTGAACACCTCACAGATTATAAATAATCATCTCGGAGATACACGACACACATTAACATACAATAATAACCAAATCCGAAATATCGCCAAACAGTATGTCATTTGTACTTTCTTATATATAAATTTACTTAATTTTAGTTGACTGTTACACGATATGGTAAAGTAAAGTAGATATGGTATGGTAAAGTAACGCAATCACTATTTTGTATAGCGTATAGTTCAGGTGGAAATACTGTATGTTTTTCCGATGTTTAATGGAAAGTGCCGAAAAGTTGCGATTTAATGAAAAATGCTTGCTTTATTAATCAATTAAATCAGAACTAAAAGTAACTGACATAAAGTTTCTGTTGTATGTTTAACACGAACACATATCAGAAAATTACAACAAAGTAAGCTGTACGAAGACCGTGTCACATACATTGCAATTTATGTGCGTTTATTTTCGTGCAACATACATTCCTATCAATTCTTCAAAGAATTACGCTAATAAATACGAGACCATAAATCATTAAAAAATAACAATAAAGTATGCATTAAATTACATAATGGGACTTTTTTACATATTATTTGTACAAGTTATTTAAAGTAGCCTCAAAGCGGTATGAAAGGAAAAAAACACAAAACGAAATGTAGTCGGATGTCTGCCATTTTAAAGGCTCATGATTTAATTTATTTATTAAGATATTACATTAATTCACTGCACATAGGAGGGGTAATTTGATGTCTTTTTATTGCTCCCATTTATCAAATTATCATGACATTTTCTTATTAGAAAATTATTATTTCTCTTTAAAGATAATAATCTCGAATTAATTTGTTACGCTAACCTAATCTAAATGCATATTTTTCTATCCTGATAGTATTCTATATTCTATGTTTTTGGTGGTTTATTTTTGCTACCGCATGAAAGGTTAAAACATGTAACATTACGAAACTATTCTATAATCCCATGTCATTTTTTTAAAATCACTTAATCTTTTAATGGACTGTCCAAAATCGGGGTATTTCTATCCGAAACAATCTTTCCAAATTCAAAGCTAAGTAAATTATATAAAGAAATTCAGACGGTGAAGCGTCCTTTCAAACTGACTCAACTCCAGTTTCTATATAGAGTCAATATAATATAAAAGGTGTTTTTATAGATTGCTTGCATTTCTGCTGTGTTTTTTTATATTGCTTTACAAATGACAGACTATTAGTACTCTTTATTACGCAGTTTCAATTTTGGAAAATGAAAAGCGTATTGGTGTATTGTAAGAAACAAAATAAGTATAGAAATAATAATAATACTAATAAAATCTGGGTTTTTGTTTTTTTTTGTTTTTTTGTTTTTTTTTTGTTTTTTTTTGTTGTTGTTTTGTTTTTCGAGTAGTTAACATATACATGTAAGTTTACAAAGTTAATTAAAACTAAAATACGTCTTATTTTCATATAGTCTTCCAAAGAAGAAAAAAGTACAATGCCAATAAACACAAAGTAACACCATGAAGGAGTTGTATTTTTTCTGCGTCTAGGGACGATGTAACAAGTACAAGAGGACGAAATTAGAAGGACACAAGGTCCAGCTAGCAGACGACTGCATGTACTGCTAGACATTACAATATATTTTCTTTTCCATTTCAGTTCTTATTTGGAATCAATGCACTGTGTATCTACATTAATATCAAGTTGTCCCCCTTCGTCGAGAAAACAAGTCGAAGATGCTCTAGTCAACTATAGCGGTATACAAAAAGAACTTACCGATTTATGTACAACTTCCGGTTTGTACGAACGTAAGTTATTAGTTTAGTTAAAACATATTTATCTTAGCTCGATTACAGAATAAGTTCTTGCAACGTATACTAGTCACATTCTAATCTGCTTACTGGAACTAACCAGTACTGGTGTTATGTCGTGAGTTATCATGGTTAAACTTTTCTCTATTTATCAAGATTCACTTTATAGCAACAACTATTTTGTATTCCGCCACTCGAAACAAACCAAGAAATTATAGATTTGTTTCTCTGGAAGTATAGATCTGCGTTCAATAATAAAAAAAGTCATATTGATTTATTTAGTTACATTGAATTCTGGTAAATTAAATTAACGAACTCATCCGGTAAAAGTTAATCTCTTTTTTATAAGAAAAATATGGAATTGAACCAAAGATTTTAATACTCATAATGAGTATAAAGTTTTATCACAGAAGTAGAATATGTGCAATAATTAACTTTTTTCATCGTCATTTTATTCAATATAAAACATGAAAATCTGTTTTTTATTTCCAAAATCCATCCTTATATCTATTAACCTCATCATATATTAGTTAATTATTAACATCAAAGGTACTTGAACATCATTTAAGTTCAAAGTGATGATCAAATGTGGTAGTAAATGTACAAAAATCAATTATAGCGTGACTAACGTTTTTTGTTGGGTTTTTCTCTAGATACGTTCAAGGGTCATACCTATATTAAAATAAGTTGGTTGGAGATAAAAATCAAACTTGAACTGAGTTATGATAATACATACTTACCTGCTAAACATATACACAATCACTGCAATCCTTCAAAAGTTGTACTGCGAAAACCAATTGTCTACGGACGGACATGCAAAAAGACGGACGGACGGACGGACGGACCGAGGGACGGGCAACGCCATACCATAATACGTCTCGTAGGTCTTCAGGCGTATAAAGACATTTAAAAATATTGATCATAAAGTTAATGTAATAGTCTCGAATAAAACGAGTTGCAGTCCCTCTTTTGAATTCAAATATTTTAAAATAAAATAAATTTCTTTTTTTTATTATTTTTCAGTTTATGCACAGTATATGACATGTTATTCCAAGCTAGGTGAGAAGTCAGAAAAGTGTTATAGGAGCAAGCTGAATAATACCGTCCCCAATATTTATACCCCACCTACTGAACAGTTTTGTAGGTAAGTCTCGTTTTAAAATATTGACATTTAACCCTTGATCACCATGCTTAATATCTTAAATGGACTTGTCCATCTTCCAATCTGGACAAAACCTATCATAATTTAAAGGGAAACAAAGCAAACTGAATGACAATGCATACCTTTTTACACTAGTCGTATGGCTTAAAAACTGCTGTGAAATGCCTTGGGGTTAAAACTGCTGTAAAAATGTAAATTTTGGATATCTTAGGATAAAAGTGCATTTTGTTCCATATATTTTATACGAAACTTTAGATATCAATTTCATTGATCATTCGCATCGTCTTTGTTCTTTATTAATCATTGTTCGTTACATATTGATTCTCACTCACTCACTCACTCACTCACTCACTCACTCACTCACACACACACACACTCACCAACTCACCAACTCACTCACTCACTCACCAACTCACTCACTCATTCACTCACTTCTTTAGTTTATTTATTTATTTATTTATGTATTTCAGTCAGGTACGAGAAGCAACATTATGTATAGAAAACAATATAAGAGAAGCATGTGGCGAGCAAGCAAAAGAACTCGTGCATTTGCTCGTTAAACCTACAGTTGTTGGCAGTGCTCAGTGTATATATAATATAGTAGACGAGGTATGTACATTAATATTGTTTAGTCAATTCATGAATAATGACGTATCCACAATTTCTTCAAAATGAGATGTAAATGTTACCATTATGTAGCAATTCATATTGATTCGTAATGACAAGTCAGTGTATATATACATGCAATGAATGAATGAATGAATGTATGAATGAATGAATGAATGAATGAATGAATGAATGAATGAATGAATGAATGTTTCCATAAAATCCGCTGACAAAAATCACCGATACCAAGAAATAGAAGTAGCCAAAATCAGATGTCGCTTATTACAGTACGACAAGAAATTCTCAAAACTTATTTTCCTTTATTATTATTATTCCAGAAAACGCCTCAAACTATGAAAACAGTGGATAGCGGGGGCAGGTCAAGTAAGCCTAAGGAACGCGCGACGTCATCTCAATCTCATGATACCCATTCGTCTGCTACAACAAGTTCAACAAATTTCATTTTACTATTTTTTTCAATCTGTGTGTCATATACATGTATAGCTTATTTGTTTAAACCTCAAGGGATATCATGATATCGCCAGTGTCATCTTTATATTTAATTGCATATTTAATTAGCTAAATTTGTCAATTAGTGATGAATTATTCATATTAAAGCTGCAAGATATATTATCTTGAAATTGTCGACGATATAATTTAATAATAAATCTTTTATTAACACCTTTTGTGTACAAAAAAAATCAAACATACATCCTCGCAGATGCAAGTTTTGTAAAGTCTGGTTTGATTAGCCTTTCACCTGCTGATTTTTTGTAATGACTTTGCCCTGCTTTTAATTAAGAACAGTCCATTAAAAACTTAATGGATTTCAATGTAATATATAAATATATACATTGAGCTACCAACAGTATAGAACCCTGCCAGACTGTACAGCTGTGTGCTAATGTGAATAGCTAATCATTTTCAGCAGGTGAAGGGGACAAGAACCAGTCCGTGTTTTGCTCTAATGTAAAGGAAGTAACATATAATTTTTACAAAACATATTTTTTGTATATGCAATAGATACAAATTTGGCGCCACCATATACTATGTACCATATATGTCAAAACGTTTAAGTCATGGAATTTTTCATTTATTAATTAAAAGATTCCAAGTTTACGATTTTTTTAATCTATTCTGTTATATTGCATAAGGACGTTGAATCTTTAACGAAGAAAAACACAAAGATAGTTTGTAACATGTATATGTTTTATTGTTTATCTTTTTCATACCTTTTTGTGTTATTAATGTAAATATTAAATTATTAATATCGGAATGCAATTACTTGACACAATACTTAAAATTTCAACTGTATTTTAAACTTTTATAAAGAATGGAAGATGTGTTCAGCTAGTCAGTGTTGCTTTGTTTTGTAGGATTTTTTTTTCTTCTGTTTTTTTTTCTTCTTGTTGTTTACTCGAATAGCCTGTCGAGATAGGAAGGTTTATTATAATTGTTTCTTTATTTAAGCAGTTTATAAAGAAATAGGAGTCATAAGGTACATCAATGTTGCTTTTGTTCCATAAAAGAGAAGGACGCATGCAAGCTATCCAAGTATTTTGTTAAGGGACGCTCTTTCTTTTTTGCATACTTTACTCATGTAACATCCAATTGGCTATGTATATTCCTAGATAGGTCATTGTTTTCAAATAATAAAATACTTTCGTAGCATTATAATTTACATTTAGTATAAATCTCTGATTCAAGTTAACCTCAACTTTTTAAATAAAAAAAATCTTAAAATTTGAATGATTTCACCAACCAAATATTTACATAAATTATCTTTTCAATTTTGACTTTTAGGAAGGCAGGGGACGCTTATGGAAAAGTTAACTAATTGACCAATGTTGGTTCAGCACTCTGCTTCTTAATTGCAATTTTTGCAGCTTTATAAACATCTAATAGATGTATTTCAAAATTTAACGATATTAAAATTTCCGGTCATTAAAACGAAAAATAGAAAATCATACAGCTTCAAATATTGGCCAACCAGAAAAAAGTTTTGAAAGTTATGAAAGGATGCGGTTGAACAGTATGCGTGATAAATTTTATTACTGAAACCACTAAGTGCTTTGAGAAGCTAGTTTGGAGCCTCTGACATGTTTTAGACTTTATTGCATTTTTAATACAAACGCTGTCTAATTTAGCATCTGCTTTAAAAACTGCAACATCAAAATCTATAATATACATTACCATAATTGAAAATTGCCGGTAATATATGGTGTTATCAATTGCACATGTGTATATAATATGCTTTGATAATGAAGTTTCGCAATTTAGTCTCTAATTAATATTCATAATGTACATGATCAAAGAGAAACGCCATTAATAATCAAAGAATGTCTAGGGGAAATTAATGCATTAATTAATAATATCATGAAATCATTTCCTTGCTAAGGGTTTTTTTTTTTCATTTTTGATTTTATAATTATGCTATTAAACAACAGTGAAAAGTGCATCAGTCGGCCTCGTGTTTTACTGACGTTTGATGTCAAAACTATGAAGAGGTTTAAGGTCATCAATGTGGGTGCTGTATTTATTTGAGCCGTGTCACGACAAAATCAACATAATGCGTTTGCGACCAGCATGGATCCAAACCAGCCTGCGCATCCGCGCAGTCTGATCAGGATTCATGCTGTTCGCTTACAAACCCTATAACAAGTAGAGAAACTGATAGCGAACAGCATGGATCCTGATCAGACTGCGCGGATGCTCAGGCTGGTCTGGATCAATGCTGGCCAATGTTGGTTTTGTCGTGACACGGCTCAATTGTACAATAAGAATGAGCAAATTCAAGATTTAGTGTAATTCTGCTCTCTTACTGCACGTTCTCTTGAAGACTACTTACAAGTGTCGGGATAAATCTGGTTGTAAAACAGTTCTTTAGTTACATCCATTGATGTTTATCTTATCATTATTAAATACTAGTACCAACCCTCCCATCCCCACCCCTATTACCCGAAATTGTATTTGGCAATAGTCGTAAATGACTTTGTGGCTGAGGGGATGCCTTTAATGATTGAGGCGTCTGCAGAACTGCAGCCACAGTGTACCCCTGTGTGACCGTAAGAGGCGACTAGATTGTATTATTTTGATAAGATTTGTCACTAAGTGTTCTTTACACGTAAAAGGTTACATTCTTGGTTATAGTGACACTATTGAGTAGAGGAAACTAATAAGAATTAGCGTGTGTCAGGTGCATCACCTTGAGCACTCTATGATGTCACATTTATTTAAATATTTATTACTTTCTTTGATAAATAGTTAGTGTTGTTCTATTTTCTTGAATTGGTGCCTTTTATTATAAATGTAAATAAAAATGTTTCCCTTAAAAAATGAACTATATAGGTGTTGTGATACATATGATTCACATCACTTACATGTAGAATCATAATTTAGATGCTTGAAAAAAATATTTTAAAAGGTTCATTAACCCTTACCATGCTCAACACATGAATTTAAAATGGACTCGTCCATCTTTCAATATGGACAGAACCATTCTTCATATTAAGGGGAAATTTTCAAAATACAGTCACACCTGTGAATAAAGGTCATTAAACAGAGACCATCAATGACCTTTTCAGAAAAGTGGTCTTTATTTGGACTTTATTCTGTTGTTTTATTAACAAATGAAAGTTGTTCACAGAGTGTGGTCTTTATTTACAGGGTGGTCTTTATTTTGAGGTGGTCACATGTAGAATCAATTACCACGAACAGGTTGAGGGTTTATAAAGAAATATGTTTTTCTGTTTGTTAATACATTCACACTGCTTTTTGTACACTGTCATTAATTTGTTATGCCTTTTTATATATATTGTTACATGACTATTTAATACAAAAAAATAAAATATTTTCAAGTAAATTGTATTTTGTTTTCTGTTTAAATCAAGTTGCTGAATACATGGAGCTTGCTTTAATGTTTCAATGATGGAAAATGTTTTACTAAGATCAGTTTACAATAGTATTTCAGTCATTGCACAATGGTATTTCAGTCATTACACAATGTTATTTCACTCATTACACACTGGTATTTAAGTCATTACACAGTGGTATTTCAGTTATTATACAGTGGTATTTCAGTCATTACACAGTGGTATTTCAGTTATTACACATTGGTATTTCAATCATTACACAGTGGTATTTCAGTCATTACACAGTGGTATTTCAGTCATTACACAGTGGTATTTCAGTCATTACACAGTGGTATTTCAGTCATTACACAATGGTATTTCAGTCATTACACAATGGTATTTCAGTCATTACACAATGGTATTTCAGTCATTACACAATGGTATTTCAGTCATTACACAGTGGTATTTCAGTCATTACACAGTGGTATTTCAGTCATTACACACTGGTATTTCAGTCATTACACAGTGGTATTTCAGTCATTACACAGTGGTATTTCAGTCATTACACAATGGTATTTCAGTCATTAACAGTGGTATTTCAGTCATTACACAATGGTATTTCAGTCAATAACAGTGGTATTTCAGTCATTACACAATGGTATTTCAGTCATTAACAGTGGTATTTCAGTCATTACATACTGGTTGTTATTACACAGTGGAATTCAGTCATTAACAGTGGTATTTCAGTTATTCAACAATGGCATTTCTATGAAACTTGTGTACATGCAAGGGAAACTTCAACATGACTCAAGTTCAGATTTTTTTTTAACTCTTCAACATTTCTTCATACAAGAAGACCATTATTGCCTAGATTGCTCCCCCAAGATTCACTGCTGGCAAAGGACACAATTCTTCAATGCTGAAGTGATTAGGTTACATAAGGACAGGGACAGTGCTATGTTTGATATAACTTTAACTGAGATTCAAGAAGCAATACTACTTTCGAAATAAGTTTAATGAGTAAATTTATCTATAAAAGTCTATGAACTGTGTGACTCCCAGGCTTATTTGAACCCAGGGACACGATTCACCTACCTTTTGTACTGAAAACCAAACTATAATGATCACAGCTCTGGGCTTTGAACTTTTTTAAAAATGATTTGGCAACATAATTTCACAGAAAAGGATTCAAATGTATTTTACAATATATGTCTATAAAACTAAATGGCTAAGCATAATTTATATAATCTTTGTAGATTACTATATATCCTGATGCTATAATGCCAAGTATCTAGGATCTTAGTATTGTAGTTCTGAGAATAATTTTTAAAGTTTTCATATTCTAGTCTATTTAACAAGAGCTGTCCGTAAGACAGCGCGCTCGACTTTTTTATTGCTTGCCAATAAAAAAAGTTTTTGCAGTAAAAGGCAATACAAGAATCTCTGTATTTTTAAAGTGAACAATGGCCATGAGCATTAAGATATTTAGTGAAGAATTATTTTATTATGACATAATTTATGGTAAAGTGAACAAGTGGATAGGAATGAATTATTTTAGATTTTTTAAGTTTTTTAGTGCTTGCCTATAATACAAAACATTGACAGTTAAGGGCCATAATTCAAATAAAATCTTTGACAGAATTACCTTCTCCTGGACATGTTTGGGAATCATGATTGTAAACAAGTATTCCAACTTTCAAATTAATATCTCAAACAGTTCAGTCAAAAAGTGGACTGGTACTAAAAACTTAACCAAGATTCTAAGTCGATAAAAGGCCTTAATTTTTTAAAACAAATCCTTGACAGAGTTACCTTCTCTTGCGTACAGATGGGGGTAATGATGTGAAATAGCATTAAAAGTTTCAAAGCAATATCTCAAAGGGTTAAGGCAATAAGTGGATTTTACCCATATTCAATGTATTTTCTAAGTCAAAAAGGGGCATAATTCTGTCAAAAAACCTTGACAGAGTTATGTCCTCTTGTCTGTTGATGAAGGTCGTGATGGTAAACAAGTATGGTCAGTTTCAAAGCAATACCTCCAATGGTTTTGAAATAAAGTGAGGTGGTACAAAAAACTTAACCAAGCTCAATACACTTTCTAAGTCAAAAAAGGGCCATAATTCTGTCAAAAACCTTGACAGAGTTATGTACTCTTGTCTGTAGATGGAGGTTATGATGGTGAACAAGTATGGTAAGTTTCAAAGCCATACTTGTAATACTTCTGAAATAAAGTGGGGTGGTACGAAAAACTTAACCAAGGTGTGACGCCAACGCCGACGCCGGGGCGAGTAGGATAGCTCCCCTTTTCATAGAAAAGTCGAGCTAAAAATTGTGTAATCTATTTATGCATCAGACTAAAACCATTTAAATCACAATTGTAGTGGGCCATCTATGGATTTTTGGGAAGTATGGTAAAAATCTACTTTTTGTTTAAGGAAAAGATTGTTTTATAGAAATTGTTGATTAGAAAATAGCTCACATGTGCGCACAAAGTGCTTACACGTCAGCTTAAACAATCAAGCTAAATCATAACAAACAAGTGTTTTAAAAATGGATCTTATTTCTGAGTTTCTCAATCTAATAAAGAAATTGGAAACTTTGGGAATTTAAACCAACACCCTTTGGAGGGAAATTGTTCCAAGTCTGTAGTCATAACTGCTCAGTCATATATGTTACTGATTCATATCATATGTTGGTGCAAAGAAATAAAATACTATATTGTTATGTAAAAATGATTATATTTACAAATATTCTAAAATGAAATGTTTTCTTCAAAATGTAACATAAGATTTATTATTACATCAATACAGTATGGCATCAAACAAATACTTTCACTTGGAAATTAAAATAAGAAAACTGAGACATGTCTACAAAAAGAAAGGTTGATAAAGATTCCTTGCTTCGCTGATATCTTTTCTTTAAAAGAGTTCAAAACATTAGATGAACTTTTGATGCAATCAAAGGGAAGTAACCCTCACAAAACCTAACAAACCAGATGGTACATGGATATGATTTTCTTAAATGTTATCATAACATAAGAACATAAGGAAAATACTTAATATCAAAAATGTTATAGAAAACCTATATATGAAATGCAAGTAAGCAACTTCTACCATTGAGTTCCTTTTAAATTTTGATCTTGTTGTTATCATTTAATATGCTATACTTTTATAAGGAACAAAACATTCATCAAATGATCAACCATAAATTTGAATGACTTATTAAGATACATTTTTAGAATGTCATCCTGATAATTGACTAAAGTTTTACATTTTTAATACACCAAGATTATTTCATTTTATCATAGCATTTGGTGAAACAGGTATGAAAATGTGATAAGCAAAATACATGTTTATAAAGACCTCTGGTGCTCCTTTGTGCATTATTTCTGGCACAGGCAGGCACTTGATTAGTACCAACACCGTTCTGTTAGCTAACAGCATAGCTTCTTTATATGAAGCAATTAAGTAAGTTTTTAAGGAATTGGCTTATATTGTTTAATAGGTAAGGATAATATTGAAGTTCCTGGAGAGACTCATACCCACAGCGATGATGGGCAAATGGTCTCAAGTCGATGATTTAACTACTTAGTCACTGATGACAAGTGTGTATTATAAAGAAACACACAATAGTTATATGGAAAACATGTGGCATCATGTGAGAAATCTGACTTTATAATATAGTGTAAGCATTTAAACACAATACATATTTGAGTCAGCCATTACAAAACCAACGTACAGTACAGATAACGAGGAATATGCAAAATCCTCGGAGAATCGAGGAAAACACTCGAAACTCCGCGAGAATATTTGTCCATAAAAACGAGTGACTCCGAGTTAGAAACGTGTCATGAGAGTGACTTTGAGACGAAAATAAAAGCGCATGACTCCGAGAGAGAATTATCACGTAACTCCATGTCAGTGTCTAGCTGGTGTACATAAATGCAAGTGCAATCTCATTTTATATTTAATTTAATTCTTTAGATTACCATTCGAAAATAAAGATGATTTTTACTGTTGTTGTTTTCAATTTACCCTGAAACAGTTGAACGGTATATTTGATTAGAAAAAAACACTACCGTAAGCGTCATCAGTTCAAGTTTATTTTTATCCCGATTAATTAGGTCAGTAGCAATAACCAAAGGAACCCGAAATTCTATCAAAAACAAAACAAAAACGATTAAAAAAATCCATATAAAAACGGCCCAACTTTTTTTTTATACTTCTTTAAGAAATCAATTAATTATATAAACTTAAATAATCTTAAATGTTTAATACCGATAACATGCCGTTAGCACAGTCTGATCAGGATCCATGCTGTTCACCATTTGTTTTTCTACTTGTTTGTAAGCAAACAGCATGGTTCCTGATCAGACTGCGTGGATGTGAAGGCTGGTCTGGATCCATGCTGGTCGCAAATGCATTATGTTGGTTTTGTCATGGGCGCGGCTCATTTATTAAATCTTATATCTTACAACAAAAATATCCTAATCTATACAACAATATAAGACAATACTTCAATTACTTAACTTACTTAATCACTTTAATTTGTTTACTTATAGTCAAGACAGTATCTGTTTTTATATCTACTATAGACTCTCAGTATAACTGTAAACCTTCACTGTAAAAATATCATTTTCATCCAGTTTAGTAAATTTATGTCAAGAATTTGTAAGTATACATTTGTAAGTATCAATTGTACTAAAGCACATTTCACAAATTCTATTCTCATTTTAAACATTCATCTGCTTGACCTGTCATTGTATGATGTTGTTGTTTTTGTCACTATATGTATAATACAGTAACTTTACAATGTAATTTTGATGGGGGAAAAAATACGCATACTGATTTGCTAGCAGTTTCTGGCCCCAAATGGCACCTTTTAACAAAATAAAATAAAAATCTGTCTACGGATGAGTGCAAAACTTTGATACATCAAAGCCAGGAACCTGTCCTGCATAAACATGTTTTCAATGCTGCTCTTTCACTTTACTTTTTAATAAGAATATAGGTCTGAATGTTCAAAATTACATAGCTGTTCTTTGGACCTTTTTTATTTTAAATATAATTCAGTACCAGTAAGAAATATTAAGATCATTTCATCAAAGAAATAGAACATCCCAACCTTTTTCTGTGTCATCTGCAAAATATTGTCCAAAACTACTGATTAACGGAACAGGGTTTCATTTATTGTGCATAGGTATTCCACTAGAATTTCTCCAAGTGTTCCTTACTTTTAAATGTTGCAAGTTCTCTAAGGTAACTTTCAACAACAGACAAAACTTCCAAACATTATAATAAATTGATGTACTATTTTCACTGCTGTATTGCATAGAAAACAAATGTCTCTCTGATTTGATGAATTAACATAGATGCCCTACTGGTAAAAGTAGACTATATAGGACCATAAAAAATGCTAGGGGCCAGAAAGTGCTAGGAAGCCAGTACATCTGTCTTGTTAGCCTATAAATGATTGGCATACCTGCTTACAAGTTAAAGAGTTAAGTTTAAAATATATCATGCATTAATGTCTGTAATGAACCATTAATTAGTATCAACACGTTAACAATTTTTTAACCATAAATTCCTCTAGTTCATTTCCATTTTCGTGACAACATAACTTCTGACAGTTTGAGATCATGTTGGTATTGTGGTGTAACAATTGAGGCTGCAGTATGTACATCTAAAATGTTAATGAACATTGCACTATGTACATCATGTATATTTACAGTCCACACTACACACAGTATATATACATCAATGTACAACAGATGTCAGTGGTTCAGCTCGTATACTGGTGAAATCTAACGATCTGTCTGTCTCATCATCAACCTCTCCGATCACAGCTCTGAAAACAGAAAATACAAAATCTTAAAAGAGTGTAACGCTATATATCACCTGCAGTAATTGTTATTTGAATTTTGAAAAAAAATTCTTTCAAAATGCTTGTATGACAGATATAATTATGTTTGTCATAATCTTTCGGATTCTTTCCTTAAACAGGAAATGGGGCATGTTTCAATTTGATTGCTAAACAGTCAAAACACTAATTAAAATAACCACATATTATTTAATATTATTTAAAATTATTTTGTTGTGGAACATTTTATTATGTTTATATAAAAAATTTATGAGTGTTAAATAACAAAGACCATTTTATGATACAATTTTTTTGAAAATCAACCATTATACTCAAGATGCAACATAATTTTACTGCTTATGAAATGTTTTTGAAATTCTATTAACCCTTTCACTGCCATAGGGACGGCTTAAGCCGTCCCTGTTATTTTTGGCGTATTTGCCATATGGACGGCTTTAGCCGTTTCTATAATAATCATAATAATAATAATAAATTAATAATAATTAATAAAAATTATAATAAATATAAAGAAAATTATACCATCGATAATAAGCATATCTGGAAACATATATAATTTTTATAAGACTAATAACAAATAATAACAAGATATGTTTGTAAAACATGTATGCCCCCTATCAGCAGCCAATTATTCATGTGAAAAGGTTATTATGCATGACTTCTGACCCAGTGATCAAAAAATTAATAAGGGTTATCAAGTATCTACTGGTCATGACCTTAACCTTTGACCCCTTGACACAAAACTCAATAGGGGTCATCTGCTGGTCACGAAAAATCATCATACAAAGTTTGAAGTTCCTAGGCCTAAGCGTTTTTAGTTAATTGATCGGAAACCGTTTTAACATACAAGGTCAATGTGACCTTGACCTTTGACCCCTTGACCCCAAAATCAATAGGTCATCTGCTGGTCATGACCAATCACCATACCATGTTTGAAGTTCCTAGGCCAAAGGGTTCTTAAGTTATTGATTTGAAAGCATTTATACCTACAAGGTCAATGTGACCTTGCCCTTTGACCCCTTAACCCCAATATCAATAGGGGTCATCTACTGGTCATGACCAATCACCATACCAAGTTTGAAGTTCCTAGGCCTACGGGTTATTTAGTTATTGATCGGAAACCGTTTTTACCTAAGAGGTAAATGTGACCTTGACCTTTGACCCCTTGACCCCAAAATCAATAGGGGTCATCTACTGATCATGACCAATCACCATATCAAGTTTGAAGTCCCTAGGCCTAAGGGTTCTTTCGTTATTGATCGGAAACCGTTTTTACCTACAAAGTCAATGTGACCTTGACCTTTGACCTTTAACCCCAAAATCAATAGGGGTCATCTGCTGGTCATGACCAATCACCATACCAAGTTTGAAGTTCCTAGGCCTAAGGGTTCTTTTGTTATTGATCGGAAATCGTTTTTACCTACAAGGTCAATGTGACCTTGACCTTTGACCCCTTAACCCTTAAATCAATAGGGGTCATCTGCTGGTCATGACCAATCACCATACCAAGTTTGAAGTTCCTAGGCCTAAGGGTTCTTTTGTTAATGATCAGAAACCGTTTTTACCCAAGAGGTCAATGTGACCTTGACCTTTGACCCCTTGACCCCAAAATCAATAGGGGTCATCTACTGATCATGACCAATCACCATACCAAGTTTGAAGTTCCTAGGCCTTAAAGTTCTTTAGTTATTGATCAGAAACCGTTATTGCTTACAAGGTCAATGTGACCTTGACCTTTGACCCCTTGACCCCAAAATCAATAGGGGTCATCTACTGATCATGACCAATCACCAAACCAAGTTTGAAGTTCCTAGGCCTTAAAGTTCTTTAAGTTATTGATTGGAAACCGTTATTGCTTACAAGGTCAATTTGACCTTGACCTTTGACCCCTTGACCCCAAAATCAATAGGGGTCATCTACTGATCATGACCAATCACCATACCAAGTTTGAAGTTCCTAGGCCTTAAAGTTCTTTAGTTATTGATCAGAAACCGTTATTGCTTACAAGGTCAATGTGACCTTGACCTTTGACCCCTTGACCCCAAAATCAATAGGGGTCATCTACTGATCATGACCAATCACCATACCAAGTTTGAAGTTCCTAGGCCTTAAAGTTCTTTAGTTATTGATCAGAAACCGTTATTACTTACAAGGTCAATGTGACCTTGACCTTTGACCCCTTGACCCCAAAATCAATAGGGGTCATCTACTGATCATGACCAATCACCATACCAAGTTTGAAGTTCCTAGGCCTTAAAGTTCTTTAGTTATTGATCAGAAACCGTTTTTGCTTACAAGGTCAATGTGACCTTGACCTTTGACCCCTTGACCCCAAAATCAATAGGGGTCATCTACTGATCATGACCAATCACCATATCAAGTTTGAAGTCCCTAGGCCTAAGGGTTCTTTCGTTATTGATCGGAAACCGTTTTTACCTACAAAGTCAATGTGACCTTGACCTTTGACCCCTTAACCCCAAAATCAATAGGGGTCATCTGCTGGTCATGACCAATCACCATACCAAGTTTGAAGTTCCTAGGCCTAAGGGTTCTTTTGTTAATGATCAGAAACTGTTTTTTACCCAAGAGGTCAATGTGACCTTGACCTTTGACCCCTTGACCCCAAAATCAATAGGGGTCATCTACTGATCATGACCAATCACCATACCAAGTTTGAAGTTCCTAGGCCTTAAAGTTCTTTAGTTATTGATCAGAAACCGTTATTGCTTACAAGGTCAATGTGACCTTGACCTTTGACCCCAAAATCAATAGGGGTCATCTACTGATCATGACCAATCACCATACCAAGTTTGAAGTTCCTAGGCCTTAAAGTTCTTTAGTTATTGATTGGAAACCGTTTTTGCTTACAAGGTCAATGTGACCTTGACCTTTGACCCCTTGACCCCAAAATCAATAGGGGTCATCTACTGATCATGACCAATCACCATACCAAGTTTGAAGTTCCTAGGCCTTAAGGTTCTTTAGTTATTGATCGGAAACCGTTTTTGCTTACAAAGTCAATGTGACCTTGACCTTTGACCCCAAAATCAATAGGGGTCATCTACTGGTCATGACCAATCACCTTACCAAGTTTGAAGTTCCTAGGCCTTAAGGTTCTTTAGTTATTGATCGGAAACCGTTTTTGCTTACAAGGTCAATGTGACCTTGACCTTTGACCCCTTGACCCCAAAATCAATAGGGGTCATCTACTGGTCATGACCAATCACCATACCAAGTTTGAAGTTCCTAGGCCTAAGGGTTCTTCAGTTATCACTCGGAAACCATTTGGTCTACGGACCGACAGACCGACGGACCGACAAGTGCAAAGCAATATACCCCCTTTTCTTCGAAATGGGGGCATAATAATAATTATATTAATTAATAATATAGTAATTTCTTAGAAAACCCTCTGGCAAATAGGTGATCAATAAAACAATAACCCTCAGGCAGCGAAAGGGTTAAACATTTCATTAAATATAGTTTTATAAATTAGATGAAATTTAAAATAAATTCATTAATAAATTATAAAAAGATCTTAACCACAAAAGTACTGTGAAAGTTTGGTTCAATTAATTCATTTTCATTAGCTTTATCTATAGTGTAATACATTGCATATATACATTATAAATTATCTCCCCTGAATGTATACAAAACTTACACATTATCTCCCCTGACAATGTACAGTCCCAGGATAACATGCTCGACACCTTCACTGCTGCTATACACACGTTCATGACTCTCATCCAATATGAGATTTATAGTCTGATCAAAACCTTTCAACATACCCTGTAAAATACATCAAGTTTTATGTCATAATCTACAAATATATTTATATATATATTGCACTTTTCATAAATTTAATTGCAAGTCTTAGACATGAAAAAGCTTTAATAAACACAGTTCAAAATGAGGTACATGTATAATAGCAACTATGCAGCCTTTAACTGGCAGAAGAAGACCTTTAGATATTCGCCCATGCCTAAAATACAAGATGGTACCTTGGCAGAACTTCTATGTTCCAAAGCCTAGTTGACAACTTTGTGTCTTGAAAAAAATATCTTGACTGACAACCAACAGCTATAAGTGGTAAATGATTTGTTTTCAAAGTCAGTCAACATACTAAAAAAGCGATATGATCAGCATTGAACTTTTCAAAGAACGACATGTCCTGTTAGCTCAATTGGTAGAGGACTGAAAAGTGAATCAGATGACCTTGGTCCAATTCCTGGACATGCATGTTACTTTTGTTGTAACTGATGATGAAATCCTTTCTACTGTCATTCAAACTGTATCTCTACTCTGGTAAGTTCTTTGCGAAAGTGAAGGCAACTAGTACTGGTAAACTACTTTACAGTCTGTCCAAGCATGATGCAGTGGCTGAACTGTGCTCTGGTAAATTCAATGTTGAATAGAGTAAAACTACCAGCACCACCAATATTACACTATTAGACTATAGAATATGTAAGATATATAAAGAACAAAGAAGACTTGTTCCATCCATTATGTTGGATTTGTCATGACACGGCTCAAATATGTTATATACTTACTACAATAATTCTTCCATCTGCTGTCACAATTGATACAGTTTCTTGTTCAAGGTTAAGGAAATTTTACATCATAGTTTCTATAAATACACACTATTATTTAGACCAAAGCCCAATTACTTTACAGAGACAAGGAATTTTGTGTCATTTTGAAGTAAAAGGGAAATTTTGTCTGTCAACATGGATACTCATATGTCAAGGATTTCATATTTCTATTTTGCTGAAAGCGAATTTCGAAGTTATTTGTTGTAGGCCAGGTCTCTTTATTTCATTTTTTAGGGGAATATTTTGCATTAAAAAGAGAGGAGAAATTTGTATTGATCGGGGAGGAGAATGGGGCCTAATTTTGCTCACAAAAAAACATGAAATGAGGGTCCTTTAGAACAAAACTGCAAATTCAACTTAAACATAATGTAAAACAAAAAACATTTTAATACAAACATTCGCTATGTCGAGTTCCACACCTTTTATACACCTGTATATTTTATATACGGTAGTAAACGGGTGCTGGATAGTAATTTTGTCCTAAATGATCAAGGGGTGATTATTTTATGATCATTTTCCATTATTGGATTGCAAAGGATACCCTTACCCCCAAAATAGGAGAAAAACGCTAGGGAAAAAGTAGTTTCATTAAATAAAATCTTTAACCCCTGCTATGCTTTTGTCATTTCCCCTGCTGCTGTCCTTGACAAATTTAATTTTATTTCTTCTCTATCATTGCTGTGGCAGCATGGTTGATTGTCTAGTTTATTATCAAGAGGTCTTGCACTGGTTCAAACTTCTCTGCAAAAACCAAAAATTATTGAATACCTGGAAACAGGGCTAAAATTCTTTAAATTGGTACTGTAAACGGAAATATTGCGGTAAATAACAGAGCATTCAAAAGGATACTGTTAACATACGATTCTAAAGCTGAAGCCATGTTCAATCTTTTCTTTCAACACACCTGACACAAATTTGTAGGGTAGAAATGAAATGCAACACCGGCCGCTAAGGGAGAATATCAAATATTTATTTCATCAATTAAAAAAGATAAATATATTTTGAGTTATAATTTTGATTTTTCAAACAAAAAAGTCAGAATATTTATTTTATTTCATCTAAAGACAATCTTTGGCAAATAGAAAAACAAAAACAATAGAACGCCGTAAATAAACGGTCCCTCAAGGATACAAAGATGGCCGCGTCCATGTTCACAATTTTGTGTATTTAAATCTGGTATTTATTGGATAATTGTACGTCGACAATGTCGTTTGAGCAGGTTGAAATCATGCCTTTTTAAACCTGGCAATAATCTCCTTTATCCTAGTCTATTGAGCAGTTCGTTGCAACGGTACGTTTTCTCGGAATATTTTGTCAAAAAATTCTGCATAGGTTATGCCGATTTACAAATACTTCACCCCAGACACTTCACCCTAGGCCTTTTACAGACACTTCACCCCTCAGACAGTTCACCCCTCATTTTAAGAAATTTGATATTTAATATGAAAAAGGCAAAGCATCAAAGCGAGCTTGATTTTCTTTTACCGTAAAATAGTTTAAAATAATCGTTTATTTTTATTTTACATTTTCCGTTTTAAAATTGTCATTCGGTATTTTATACACTGCTTCTATATATTCTATATATGTGTGCAGGACACCAGTCTATGCTTCCGTTTTCTATCAGAGTATATCGGCTTTTATCGTTATCTTGTAATTCAAAAAGTTGCGATGTGTCAATTTTGTACTTCAGACGAAAGTTTTCAAAACCATCACTATCTAGCAAGTACTTGCGTTACCGTAAAGCTCGCTTTGCGAGCAGGCCCTTTGGGCCAGCTTGTCGAGGTCGCTATTAATCAAATAAAATATATGAAATTAGGTGCTACATGTACCTAGGCTATGGCGCGGAAAGCTCTTATGAATTATGATTTTTATCATTTTAGCATAACATGTTAAGTGTACATGTAAACCAGATCTTTCTTGCAGGTATTTTGTACCATAAACAATACGAATTAATTGGTGGTGTTCAACCTATCATCGGAGTGCTTGGAATATTCCGAAAATCTCCAAACGTAAAGGGGGACCACTGCACATGCATTGGCATTTGGAAAATCCCGTCCGCCGTTTTTGTTAATCTCTAATCGACAGATGTTTTTTAACGTTAATTTTAATGTGCTTATTTATCAAAAAGGATATGTTAAAGTAACTTTTTATATTTATAATCGTTACTATGATTCTTATCTGACTATGAAATGCACCCTAGCAGTAAAATTAAACGCTCATTGTGGTATCAACAGTGAAGAAAATTTCCCGAAGAATTTACATGCAAATTAACAATCTGACTGATAGTGATACCAATTCAAATGTGGTCAAACTTGAACATGTCAAAATTGTTGAACACAGCATGTCAACAACTTTCTAATATAGGTGCTCAGAACTAATTTGAAGAGGAAAAATTTACTTTTATTTGCACAATTTCATTCAAGCTAACTGTTTTCTCTTAACAATCCTAATGCCATTTCAAATATGAAAATAATAAGTGTTGAATTATAATATATAATGTCTGAAGAGAAGTGGGTACAGTCACTGATTAAGGGAGAGTCAATATTTTCTCAGGACTAGCAAGGTGTAGAAAAATATCTCTGTATATATATTCTTTACAGTATACTGCTGTATAAAGTTAAAACCCAATAAAAAGGAATGCTTTAATTTGCCCTTCAATATGTCGCCCACCAAAATTGTCAACATAGTTTGTGTTTAAACCATTATTCATTATGAATATTTCAGACTGTCTGCTGTTGCACATATGAGTTCAAGAAGAAGATTTAAACGTGCATCAGATACCAAACCAAGTGAAGACAATGTTGAAATACAAACATTACGGAAACCTGGAATGGCTCATGACGTAGACCCAAATGCTATCCATCCTGCTGTAGTGAGGTACACTCAGCCAAAGATGAAACTGAAACTTCAAGGGATTGACTTAACCAAGTATACTCATGTTCCAATACCATATCCCAAAACAGGAGGAAGAAATTGGCATGGTAATGTCTTAACAAATTTAATTAGGTACCGAAGTTTCTCAATGAAAAAATGATTTTTTAATTTAGTTTTTACAAGTTTTTTAGTTTTTATTTCATTTACAAACACGGCTTTGGGTGACATGCTTCATACCTTCTAGCCTCATACATGTATGGCTATATTTCCAACTACCCTGTTAGGCAGATTGGGTAACCTTCATTACTCTATGAACCCCATTTTATCTCAACCTTTCAGAGCATAGGTCAAATTTAAATTTATTAATGACAAAACCAAGGTTTCATATTTTGGAAATTATTTACAATGTATAATATATTTGAACATATGTTATCCATTTGACATTCTTCATAATAATTACCCAGGCTCATGTTTATTAGCTCTTATGTTTGGAAGAAAATGTCAGCTATTATGAGCGCTGTGGCGTCTTTGTCATTGGGCCTAAAAAAAATTGTTTGTTTTCGGTGTCCCTACCTACCCTATTTTTTGGCCACCAACCCTAAACTTTTTGAGGGAAAACAGGCTGCATTTTTTTTGTTTGACCCTGCATAATAAACTTTGTGCTGCATACATGTATTCATATTTCCATCGCATACACTTGATATAAAAAAATATTTAAAAAGGAAAAAAAATGCCTTCCTACCTATCCTTTTTTTAAAACCATCTCACTGGAAACAAACACTTTTTTTTGTTAGGCGTTGTGCAAAAATTTTAATGTTGCCTAATATGCAACATTTCAAAAGGTAGCATCATGAAAGCTGGTTGGTAGACAAGGGGTATAATTCTGAAAGCAATTTTTTGGAAGTTAAAGCCCCTTTAAATTTAGAATTTTAACAGACGAGCATTAAGTTTTACTTGACAATAATTTGATCATTTTCAGGTGATGTATACATGGGTACAATATCTATGTTGCCTGATGATGAGTATTATATTACTTGAAACTAGTAGCAAATAAAACCATTAAACTGACCTGGTTTTGTATGTGTGTTCCTCACCTGTTTGAATCATTGTAATATCTATATGTGTTAAATTACAGCAACATAAGATGTTGCAAATCTTTTGGAATCAACCAGGATATTATGGAACCAATATAATTTTACCTTTGATAAATTTTATCAGAATATTTGGTATGGTATAGATATATATACTTTGAATGTGCTACTTTAAATGTGTTTTGCACAAGAATCGGGTTCCTAGCTCAAAGATCAAGGTCACACTTCATCAAAAGTGATAGTATGAATTTCTTATAAAAGTACACTGATATTCTTGTCTGATCAACACTTCTGTTATTCCTGGATGTATTTTGAAATTATTATGCATAAAATTTATGTGTTAGATATGTGTCCCGCCCATGAATCAGGTCCTTACCTCAATGATATGATGTTTTTGATAGAGAAGTGAATTGATGCAAGTCAGAGGTCATGGTTCCTCTACTGGGCCCTGCTTAGAGGCGTGGGACGTTTGTCTGTCTTCTTCGACAGTTCTTGCTTTTTGAAAAATAACTACATATAATTTAAAATTTTCAGGACAGGTTCAAAACAAGAGAGTTGGTGGTGGTGCCAAACAAAGAATTAGACTGGTGGATTACACACGTAATGCTATCAGTGAAAAAGAACCACTTGTGGAAAGAGTTCTCTCAGTAGATTATGATCCATTACGTTCTGCTGATTTAGCTTTGGTTGCCAGCGGTAACAACAAGAGATGGATTATTGCAAGTGATAATATGAAAAAAGGAGATATAATAAAATCACATATAAAAATTCCTCAGTATCCAGGTAAAGTTTGATATAGTAAACAAGAATGAAATTTTTGCAGATGTTTTGATATTCACGCTACATTTTACATCCTTATTATGTATGTGTGTATTTTTGGGTAAACACATTTATTTGTGCCTGTGGTACTGTATTCCTAGAAATTATTTCGCGCTTTTTAAGTTAGCTTGTTTCGCAGTGGATATATTATCACGAATGTTTGAATCCATGGAAAAGTTACATGAAACAAATTGTCGAACATTTGTAGATTCAACCACTTATCATTATGATGTAGTCTGCATAACTTTTACCTATGCTTCAATGAAACATATATCAAGGTAAAATTTTCTTTTGAGTGGTTGAAAGTTAAATATCCATTATTTACAGATTGAATAAAATTTAATTTTACTTGTTATTTACAGTTTGCATACTTTGAATGAATTTTAGTTTCCTTATTTAAAGGAAGGTTTTAAAAGTACAAAGCAAATAATACCTATCGATAAACATTTACTGTTATTTTGCTCCCCAAAGGATGAGCATATAGTCGCTGCTTTATCCTTCCGTTCGTCTGTCCTTTCTTGTTCGAGATATAAGTCTGTAACAACAAGGGTTATCAACAAGAAACTTTGTAATTGGGTAGATGTGCAGTGCACAAGAACCTTAACTCTGCCTTGCCTAATTTTGGAGTTATTACCCTTTGTTCATTTTTACACTTTGAACTTCGTCCAGGACATAACTCTAACTATAAAAGATATCAAGATGAAACTTTGTAGGTAGATAGAGCTCACTGGGTAGAAGAGCATTGCAAAAGAACCATAACTCTGCCTTCCTTATTTTGGAGTTATTGGCCTTTTTTCATATTTACATTTTGAACTTTGTCCAGGACATAACTCTGACACTTTAAGAGATATGAACAAGAAAACTTTGTAGGTAGACAGATATATTATTGGGTAGATGAACAGTGCAAAGAACAGATACTCTGTCTTGTCTAAGTTTTGAATTATTGCACTTTGAACTTTGTCTGGGACATAACTCTGAAACTACAAGAGTTATACTTTTCTGTGTTCAAAACCTATTGGGGGGAGCATCACCTGGTTCAACCGCTTCTTGTTTCTGACAGTTTAAATTTATTTAATTCAAACAATGAACATATTTTTATAATTTTAAAATAGTAAGGTCAATCATTAATGACAGCATTATTTAACTGGACATTATGCTATAAATGAAAATAAATATTAAATATTATTTGCTGAGAAATAAGTCATCTGAATGAATTTTTATTTTTCTGGTAGAAGAGAATTATATCAGAATGGTATCTTATATCTTACATATATATATTGTTTACACTAGGTAAAATTTAATTATTTAAAGATTTTGTCAATATTGTACAAATTGTACAAGTTAGTCTTGTCTTGCTGGTATAGAGAGAACAAAAACAGAAATGAGCCGTGTCACGACAAAACCAACATAATGGTTTTGCGACCAGCATGGATCCAGACCAGCCTGCCCATCCGCGCAGTCTGATCAGGATCCATGCTGTTCGCTAATAGACCCTATAACAAGTAAAGAAACTGATAGCGAACAGCATGGATCCTGATCAGACTGCGCGGATGGGCAGGCTGGTCTGGATCCATGCTGGTCGCAAAACCATTATGTTGGTTTTGTCGTGACGCGGCTCAAATGTTATCATATACGCGGTTTACCCAAGCTACTTGATATTCATGAAATTCCTTGTCACTATAATTGCACGAAAGATTGTCTCCACGAAAATTCCATTGTCATGAAAAAAGCAAAATATTGTTTCTGTGAAAGTTTCTAGGAATACAGTATAGTATATATGAAATTTGGAATGTCAGATAGATAAAAGATCATGTTTTAAAGAGATTTCTGTTAAAATGAACATGTGTGTGTACTGTGAATATCATACCTGATATTAAAGTAAAATATTCATTTAACTCATTCTAACCTTGCCAGAAATTTACTTCATATGCTTTTATTAACCCATCATATACTTTATAGGTGTATTACTTGAATTGGATTTTTCGTTTTTAAATATGATGGACCTTATTATCAACTTTATGATTTATATAAGATGCCGATGGGGAGATAGTAGAATTGTTGAACACTTGCTTTGTATTACTTAATTTTTTAATTATTAAAATGGTCGGACTTCATGTGATTACTTTATTGTTTTAGTGGCAGCCAAAACTGGAGATGCACACCCACTGGGCGCGTTACCTGTTGGGGCAGTGGTTCACAACATTGAAATGTATGAGAAAGAAGGTGGATCATTTGCTCGTGCAGCAGGAGCAAGTGGCACAATCAAGCTCAAAGTTAATGATAAGGTGACGGTTACGTTACCATCTGGACGTGATGTACAGTTAAGCAAGTTCTGTATGGCCACATCTGGTAAAGCATCAAATATCGATCATTACAAGGAACATATTGGTTCTGCTCAGAGAAGTCGTCATTTTGGAATTCGGCCATGTAGTGGTTTATTCAAGAAAAAGACCGGTTATCACGGACGTAAAATGAAGAGAGTGAAGCCTGTGATTACGTATGAGAAAAAGACTAGAAAACCTTTACATGAAATGTTCGACAGTTAATATTTTTCTCTTCATAGTTTCCAAAATTTGTTTATCACAGTTAAATCCTGTATGACAGTACTTACCATTTAAGAAAAAATGACATAAACCTGTCAGAGAGTTTCTGTTTTATTACGCCCCCTTTTGAAGAAAAGGGGGTATATTGTTTTACAAATGTTGATGATTTGATCAGTATGTTGGTTGGTTGGTTAGGAGACCACTTCATTTCTGCTCAATAATCGTAAACCACTAGACCCACAACTATATTACAGAGTAAATTCACTTTCATAAATTTTTTACTCTCTTCCTTCTAAAACATTGATCAACTACTTAAAAGAAATAAACCTGTATTCTAAGAATAATCTTGCTCATTTTAAAACCTTGCACTTACACTTTTTATTTAGGTTTAATAATCTGATGTTAACAATAATAGTACCTGGAGCACTATAGCTAGTTATGTGTAAATGTGCTGTTAAATCAAAACATAGATCAACAGCTGTCAAACTTCATAAGATGACCACTTCATTGTGAGCAAGACCCCTGATGTTTTTGGGTGCCCATGCTTGAAGGTCAAAGTCACGGTGACCTTGAAATCAATGTTGAAACCGTTTTCACTCTTATAAGAAGAGAACCATATCACCCTTAGCCTTCAAACATTCATAAGATTGGTCTGAAAGTTTGTTTTAATGATATCATCATCCTTTTGAGTAGAATTCCCCTTTTGTTTTTTTGTGCACCAGTGCATGAAGATCTTAGTCAATGTGGCCTTGAAACTGAGAGACATTTAACTTAACATGTAATTAGATTTAGAAGTGAAGCTAAAATAACCATGAAAAATTATCATTGTTATTATCATGCTATGTTAAATCTTTTATTCAAGTCTCATCATTGTATAGCACATAACATCAATATATAAAATTAATACAGATACACTGCACACAGCCATTCTAAAATAGAATTGTTAGTGACTGCTGCAAAGCATTATTTCAAATTTTTATAACATTTCTTCACCATCACTTGAAAATAAAGGTTAGATAAGTTCATTGTTATTCCTGAAGCCACTTTACTACATTACTAGGGGTAACTGATATTAGGTGTTGCACTTCTTTAAAAAAAAATGATAAATTGTATCACCACATAAGTCTAGAGCAAGCAATGTCTGGTAAAACTTTAACAATGGATAGAATTCTACGTATATAATGTACAAAATCAAAACATTGAGTAAATAGCTAAAAACATATACTTTATAATCTGAGAGCATAATAAAACTGTAACAATGAAAACATTCAGCATATAATGTATAATACATAATTTAAAACATTATGTAATAGCTAAAAACTTAAAAATGTCTAGTTTTCAACATATTATAACAGGTTTTTGCAATTGTTCTAACTATATCAGGGTTGGAGAACAGAAATTTTAGATTTTCTGAATCATTTAAGAGGTTCAAATTACAGTTAACATTACAGGCATATTTGTCATTTGGATATTCTTGTTATAATTTAGTTATACTATGTAAGATATCTATATGAACTGAGAAATGTTGTAATTGAAATTATAATGAAATTGACATCACAAATATTCTAAATATAGGTGCAAATATCAGAGTTCCAGAATGTTTCAACTAGGATTAACTCAATCCATGAATATAAGGCTCCCACGTTTAAGGTTTTTTATAAACGTTTTACACGATTGGTAAGAACCGAAACGATACCGTTTAAACGGTGGTACATCCATGTACTATCTTACACCATGTATTCGAGTCGCCATATGATGACTTACTTTCTATTTTTGATACATGTACAAATAAGTAATGCTTAAGGCTCATCATGATTGAATCGCCACACATTTTCTGCATTGAATTTGTTTCCCCATTTTGCTCTTTTGAAAGATCAAAGGAAAATCAACATTACATAAAATGTATTATGTCATGAGCGAATGCTTTGTGGAGGGTTGTAAACACCCATTTTCAGTTTTTTTGCTGTTTTTTTTTACTTTGGAATAAACCAATATGAATTAGAATTGATAAAATCCATGATAACAGGCAATGATTAAGATATTTTGTAAGACAATATGGTCATTTCGTGTAAATGGTAAAAATATTGTAAACGTTTACGAATGAAATTTGAAACGATTCCGTTTAACGTATAACCATGGGGGCCTTACATGAATACATATACATTTAGAGTCTTCACTAGTGTCTACTGGTAAATTGTTTGAACTAACATATATAAACCAATGTTTTATCTTTACTAAAATCAAAGAGAAAAGAATGCTATTTATTTTTTTCATTTAAGAAATGAGAATTGTTTAAAGAAAGCAATTTTTCGTATATATATCAACTAACACTTACAGTTCCTTCTATGTGCATTGGAAAAAAACAACCAAAACATTTGATATTTTGTCTGTCTTTAAGATGTATATACCTTATTATATTTATATGTTTATAGATATGTAAATATAAGAGAGATATTTCACTGTCGTGGAAATCAACATATTTATCAATATCAGCATCACACCTTGGTCCAGAGTATTGTTCCACCAATCATTTGCTGAACCTTACTTTGTTCTGGACAATTTGCTTTGTCCCAGCTTTGTTTTATATATTGGCAAATTATATTTTTGTTTCAGTACGGAAATTTGATCCAGGTTTTCGTGCCACTTACACATGTATTTTTCACACTGCTTTGAAACATAATTACTTATGACCTTCACATACATTTGTTCATAGTTCTTTATATATCTTCTTGTTGGCTTTAGTGGTATACATTTCTTGAGGTGTTTAGCACATCATTCAATGCCATGTGTATAACTTGAGATTGATAGCCGACTGCCTTTTGATTCAGCAGATTTGGATTTTATTCTAGAGTCAGTTTTCATAAACCTAAAAAAATCTGTCAAGGACATATTTGCATATTGAATACAGAAGCTGGTTTCCACAATAATAAAAACTTATGTCAGAAACAGATTTTAAACTGACCATACCATACCTAAAAGGTAAACTGTAACAATCCTGGTTTAATTTAAGTACTGACCTCTTCCAGTGTATACGGTCGGGGTGAATGATTTCCATTTGTAATTAAGTACCAAGAGTGATTGATGTATGCTATACTTTAATCTAAATAAGTTACATCATATAAGTTTTACAATCGGGTATCTTTGAAGTTAACTAGAATAAAAATGTATGTAGTAAGCTTGAATAAGATAGTTACATGTCCACCACCAACTCTTCAGTGAAATGTTATATATGTATAATGTAATTTTGCTTCTAAAACAATTTTAAAACATCGAAGAATGTGTAAAATATATACTGTAAATATTTGTGCATTCATTTCTTATTGAAAAATTTGACTTGGACTTTATAGAAAATAAATTTACTGTTTGTAGAAGTAATGGAAAACTAAGGTCACATTTCAACGGATATTTACATTGAAAATAAAGAAAAGTGGCTTTCATATCCATGTATGTATTTTTTGGTGACTAAAATATGGCAGTTTTGAAAAAGATAAATTGAAAATTAATGCGCACAATTATTTTTAAACTGAAAAAGGGAGACAACAAATCATAAAATAAAGTATTGGAATATAATTCAGTTATCCTCTTGAGACATTCATGGTGATATTGCTCACGTAAGTTCTAACGGGTCTTTCAAATAGAATTATATTTGAAAGACACTTGTTCCAAAGAATAACACTTTCTTCACATTATCTTTGAATCCTTAATGGTCGTTGCAATTTATGCATGTATTCCAGAAAGACCCCAAGTAATTACACAAACAGCTTTAGTTTAACCTGTTGAATTCTGCTTAAGCAAGTGCTAGGGGGCGTGGACGTTTACTAGCACTTTCCATTACCGTCCATGAACAGGCTCAATCAAACCGAGCCTGCAACATTTACAATTTTGACTTTTTGGACCTTCTTTAGGGATTCTTTACTTTTCTCTATTTTAGAGACGTGCATGTTTCATATTTTAGTTGATTTGGGTCGAGATTTTATGCTAAATGCTCATACGTCTATCCTCCCGCATAAATTGTACTTAAGTTGGCTTGCATCCACTTTATTGATTGAATTCTTGTATGAGTGGGTCTCGTGTTTGCCCAGTCCATTTTAATGGACGACTGAAGCTAAAATAAAGGTATAAAACTTAAGATTCAATCGGCAGAATAACCGTCCGGTTGGCTCAGTAGGTAGAGCGTTGACTGCGAATCGGGCGATTCGATTCCCGGACTGTGCAAGTCATTTACTTTGTGATTGATCAGGAACTCCGTTCTACCGTCATTCTCACTGTACCTTTGCTCTTGCATGTACTAAACGTACCAGTTCCTTGCGAAAGAAAAGACAACTAGTACTGGTAAACTGTTTGACAGCCTGCCTAGGAACGATGGTGTGGCTGAACTGTGCTCGGTAAATTCAACTTACAGCCGCAATCCGGGGGTGGGGGTGGGTAAACTGCCAACACCATCACCACCACTTCAACAATCTTTGGTCACTATTATGCATAAACAGTGCTTCTCAAATTAATAGATATGTACCATTAAAGTGACATGTTTAAATGAGCTGATGGCATTGAGCATCTTTATAACTTATTTCACGTGTACTTTATTGGCACCTTAATTACAGTGACACACTTAAGATAATCAGTAACCGCTTTGAACAACATCATGTCAACCAAAGTCGTGTTTACTATTAAGTACTTCGTACATCATTGATTAGTTATGTCGTTGACATTCTTACAAGAGAAACGGTTGCTTGGCATTCTATACAAAGTTCCACCCGCTTGCATCTCACCTCGTTACGTTTCTTAGAGAAATAAATTGAACAAATTTAAGTCGATTATCTCTAAATATTTGTACTAACAGAGATAAAATGTGTGTATTAGTTGTTAAAATTATCCATAATTGTTATGTTTAAACGTGTCAAGTTTAGGGTTATTAATTTATACATTATGCGAGCTTATCATAACTGTATATAGAACACCAAGATAGCATACATTGTTTGTATTTGGCATATTCTCTTGTTCAATTTAGACGATTTTCATTAAGACGTTTCGTTCCCTTACCCATTTTGAATAAAGATATTTAATAGACACATTTGATTTGGGCAATAGTTTTTTTAGTCCCCTACCGGTTTACCGGAGGGGGCTTTAGGTTTACCCTCCGTCCGTCTGTCTGTCCGTCCGTCAGTCCGTCCGTCAGTCCGTCCGTCCACAAAACTGGATCCCGCGATAACGCAAAAAGTACTGAAAATATTTTAATGAAACTTGATATATGGATAGATGGCAGTATGGAGATTATGCACGTCATTTTCTTTTTTTCCTATGTTGAAAATTCTGGTTGCTATGGCAACAAATAGACTGAAAATATGGCAAATTTTACACATAACCTGGATCCCGCGATAACGCAAAAAGTACTGAAAATATTTTTATGAAACTTGATATATGGATAGATGGCAGTATGGAGATTATGCACGTCTTTTTCTTTTCTTCCTATGTTGAAAATTCTGGTTGCTATGGCAACAAATAGACTGAAAATATGGCAAATTTTACACATAACCTGGATCCAGTGATAACACAAAAAGTACTGAAAATATGTTTATGAAACTTGACATATGGGTAGATGGCAGTATGGAAATTATGCACATCCTTTTTTATCTTCCTATGTTGAAAATTCTGGTTGCTATGGCAACAAATAGACTGAATTTCAAGTTTTCTGATTCTAGTTTTTAAGTTTTTTCCCTATAAGTTCTTTATTTCTAAAGGTATTTTCTTCAAACTTTAAATATAAGTTGCTTGTCATCAACCACATCATATGTGACAAGGTTTACAACTCTAGCACAAAATTTATCAGAATTACCTCCCTTGAACTTAAAATTTTAATGAAAAAAAACATTGTTTTTTTTTTAATAACTTCTTTTTCTGAATGTATCTACTTCAAACTTCATATAAATGTTTCTTATTGTCACTCAACATTTGTGAGTGTTCAATACTCTAGCAAGACTATTTCCAGAATTATGCCTCTTTTGAACTTAGACTTTTTTTTTTGAGAAATTGGTAATTTTTACTCCAACTTCTTCAATCATGATAGGATTTTAAAAATGTTATATTTTGATAACAGGGATGTTTAAAAAATAACTTTAGAGTGGCTTCAGTCTGTCTGTCTGTACATAAAAACTGTTTCCTGTGATCACTTTTAAAGAACTTTTTCAACAAATTTACTTAAAATAGGAACCTAAGTGAATGGCCAATGGCCCTTCAGAATGTTGCTTGGGCTCTTACCGGTAGGGGACTTATGGATTGCTTGCAATACTATGATAATTGCTTGTTTATATTTTTATTAAAAAAATCTTGAAAGTATCAAAGTATGTAAATACACAAGTAGTTCCAAAGACTTTGATCCATAGTGTCAGTCTCATTTAAAACTTTTTATACATACTGTACATGTATTACAAACACATTTATGGCTTCATTTTCAAATGAAGATTTTTTTTCTAATTAAAAATGAGAGTGAAAATAACGATTAAAATAAGGCTGTACAGATCTTAATACATCGATTATATATGAGCCGCGTCATGACAAAACCAACGTAATGGCTTTGCGACCAGCATGGATCTAGACCAGCCTGCGCATCCGCGCAATCTTATCAGGATCTATGTTGTTCGCTTACAAATCCAATACAAGTAGAGAAACTGATAGCGAACAGTATGGATCCTGATCAGGGTGCGCGGATGTCATATATCAAGCTTGCACCCCGTGACTTGTATATGACATGTCCTGCATGGATGGCCCTTCTCGCATTTTTTTTATTCATTTATTTAAAAAATCATCTCTTATGGAATAATGAAACATCTGGTAGGGTTATGTGATTTGGAGTCCGAATTATAGCCAACTTTAAAAAATGTACTCGATTTTTATATCACTCGCGTAAACATGCAAGTACATTGTAATATAATGAAAATGTTCATTTATATAACGCTTTCCCGTACTCGCTTCCCAAAATAGAGTAGTCTTTTATGAAGTAAAAGACCCATTATGCCCCAGAAATGTTTTTTTTCTTTCTCAAAATATTTATTTTTGATGTTATGTAATAGCTTCCAAAAAGTTATACAGAAGTATATTTTGCCTATGTTGATTTTTTTCTGGAATGTTTCCATTTTTTATAGCACTTAAGTATTTTGTATGGAAGTCAAAATACTACTTTGTTTTCATTTTGCTACTTTTATGACAAATGAGCCGCGTCATGACAAAACCAACATAATGGTGTTCGCTGTCAGTTTCTCTACTTATAATAGGGTTGGTAAGCGAACAGCATGGATCCTGATCAAACTGCGCGGAGGCGCAGGCTGGTCTGGATCCATGCTGGTCGCAAACCCATTATGTTGGTTTTGTCATGACACAGCTCAAATAATTTCATATTCTACAGATGATAAGCATGTTACATGCTCGAAAAACCATTACTGAAACGTAATAACACTTTTTTTTGCCCCTTCTAAAGATTGAAACTAATGCACATGTTCCTTTAAATGAACCCAATGAACTTATATCAGTAGATTCTAAATGCACGACATTCTTATCATCGTAGGTTTTATTTTGAAGAGATTTGAAAATAACTTTGGTGTTAACTAGTGCCAATGACCGATATGATTATCAAATTTTGATAAACATTAATTGTAAGGTTATTTCTGTTAAGTCACGAGAAAGTATGTCACTCGGACAAAATGCCTAAATCTATAATGTTCACCGGTATGTATAAAAAGTGTAGGCGTGCTTTACAGTTGCCCTAATTCTAGTCACATGGCATGTCTTTTCATAATTTAACTGCGGTAACCTGGTTTTGTGTACTAAAATATCACTGTGAATAAGCTATTTGTGTTAATTCCGAAGTATAAAAGTATCTTATTTTTCTTGATACACCCTATAATACCTTAAATGGCTCCACTGAGGTCAAAGTGTTTTGAAATATTTACATTATATTTATCTGCTGGGGAATCAAAGAAAGATTATGCAATTAGTATAAAATACACGATATGTTTGTGCTATTCTTAGTTCGATTTGAGTTTAAAACGTTTTTAAAACGTTTTTCGTCTTGGGATCATTTTTCACAATTTAAAAGAGAATTTTGCTGGCTAGTTAAACGGAGTTAGCAAACAATTAGAAGATTTGAACACAAGTTATTGGTCCATACAGAAATCAAATGATACACAAGTCTCAAAAAAAATGTTTCAGTACCTTCATGTCAAAAATGGTCAGTGGTATGAAATAAAGACGTTTATGAAAATTATACATGTACTTGTTTTATAAAAGAAGGTCCAATATTCATTACTGGACAATTATTGTCAGAATACTTTGGAAGAGCATGTCGTGCCATGATATGACAAAAAATGTATTGTCTTCAGTAGCCAAGGAGACAATTTGTACAAGTTAGTTACTACTCAATGAGTCCATTTAATGTTACATGCGCAATCACATCGCAAAAAGAGAAATTAATCTGCTGTACAAATAATGTGCAAAAGGCTATCAGAGCTTTGGAAATTTTGTTTATTTTTGAAAATCCTCTAGCGTTTCCTTATTGTAAGAGACACATGCTTCAAACTTCCATGGCCTTTCAGCCAAATTTATAATGTTTGAATAATCGTTAAGGTGTTCCGAATGGGTATAATCCTGATATATAACGGAAACGGCCGAAATGTTACGATTGGTATAACTATACCATGCGAGTACAACGTTTTCTATCTAAGTACAATGTACATAAACATAATGAAATGGTAAAAACCTGTATTTCACATTAAGGCAGTATGCCTCCAGATTCAGGCTAATTTTCATGAAAATCTTTAAAATGTATTTAAAAGTGAAATATTGTCAAGTGAATTACACATTGCAACGGTACTTTAAGTCTACGAAAATTACCAAAAATAGGTCAGATTATGCAAAAATAGCCCCTTACTGACTGCGTTAGTCACGCATTAGAAAAATGGTGATAAATACTAAAAAATCATTAATTGCATATTGCATGTAACTTGTTCCTTGGACTGTGGTTATTTTGACTTTTCTTAAAACATTAGTTCATGTACTTTTTTCTCAAGGTTGATTTTCTTGAAGATTTCTAGTTCATCTGGATGCATGTATCTTTAACGTCTGTCAAAACAAATCGTTCAAAACAGTGCAGTAAATTTAGCATTAACTCGTTTGTGTAGATAAAAGTTTATTTCTTCTCAAATAAAAAACCTGCAATGACGTTTTAGATAATTACGTTCACCAGGAAATACTTTTGAATGTATACGTAAAAGTTTTTTTTTAAGGAAACACATGCTTTCTCTTTTTCTTTTCTTTCTTTTTTGTGTGTATATTCCGGTGTGCACATCTTTTTATCGTTGAAAAGAATACAAAGTTTACATCAAACAGATTGACTTATATTTGTTTAATCTCAAGACAGAGTGACATTGTCATCCCACAATCTGTGTCTACTTCATAGTCTGAAGCTAATCCGCATGAGCAATCCGGGTACGACCTATTGGTCTTTAGCGTACGTCTGCAAATACATGCGTTGTCCAGCAGACGACAATTTGCTATCGTAGAGATAATCTTAGTTCGTGACTAAATGGCTCGAAACTTTACTGATTGTGAGTAGAAGTTTCGTTATCAGCATATACTGTTAGTTTTACGGTGGTCTGAGATCGCCGCGTGTGGTGTACACCCGAACCAACGTAACAAAGTCAGGAAGCCCATATACAAACACATTAGTGGTCCACCCTGCCCGAACTTGATTAGAGGGTTGACTTATACGACTTATTTTCAGCATATATATTTTTTGTATTATTTTAAGTTTTAGCATATATTTTTTATAAGTTTTAGATAACTGGTCATTAATTGCTACTTCATGATGCATTTTCAACGCTTTCGTGCAACAAAAATATCAAAGGAATAAAGCGTGTTTTTATTCCGATACAAAACAAAAACAAACAAACAAAAAACAACAACAATAGCAACAGATTCACGAGCTCAAATGTAAACAGTGCCATCATCAGTACAAACTTAGCTGAAAAATGTTTTGGTGTAAAGTTATTGTTTTCCATATTGTTAAAATGTTTTTTTATTGATTTTTTTAAAGTTTTTGCTTGTTAGATATTTGTGAAGGACTGAATTAAATTCATATATCAAATGATTACACCATTAACATCTCATCCCCGGATGCATCACAAATATCATCAGCGTCATATTTTCAAAATGTGACATATACGAACAAACGATATAATTATATGTGTAATTAATGAAATCAATCCTGTTGTTTTTTATTAATCAACAATTTGGAGTCGGCTTGTCTAATGGATAGGGGTTGAATGCAGCCCATTACCTATTACACGATGTACATGCTGGTTGGTAATGAATTGAATACTATTCAGCGGAAATGTCGTTTATTGCTTTTTTGTTTTGCTTTCTCCAAGATATGACATGAAATTTACACATTTAAAATTTATCAGTTATGAATACTATATATTTACATATAAATCCTAATGATAATTTCAATTTTTGATGTATTTGACAACCATGGAACTTTAGGGTGAGCCCTTTGTCAACAAATGTACCCTCAAACACCTTCAACTTGTAAATGTAAGATAACATTTGCCCGTCAATGAGTATGATAAGCAACTTGGCTATATAAATGAGCGGTGAAACGTTTATCATCGCCAAACTTTCAGTGTACTTTCTAGTCTCTAACGTTGTCACCAACTTGTCGTCTGCTGCAGCCATGCTTCGACTTCTCGTGCTAAGTGTCGTCTGCGCCGTAACGTTTGCTAACCCAGCAATAAGAGAAAGGAGTAAGTTTTGAAATTTTTTTGATTTTTTTTTTTTTTGATACGAAAGTAAGATTTTTTAAGTGTAAATTGAATAGTAAATTGAATAAAGCTTGAGCATGTTTAAAAGAATTTATATCGTAACAACTTTTCGGAATATTACTATACTTGGAAGAAGGTTCTCAAATGTGAAATGTGATACATAGCTTAAATTTGTATTTTAATGAAGTTTCTAAAAAGGAAAATTAACGAAATTATTGTATTCTTTTTTCAGGACAGACCAACAACTGTTTAGGTAAGTGTATTTTTTACGTGTAAAATTGTTTCGTTGTATTTTCATTCGAATATTTTGCCATTCTGAAATAGAAAATAGCACTTAGCACGAACAGCTTGATTTTTTTTATCTAAACATTTTTTGTTCCATTAAATATATTTCCGTAAAAGATCCCTAAATTTCATACTTGGTAACACTCTTAAGCGAGGGAGATACTGTTAGTAATTTCGTACATTTAACAAATATAAAAGGAACATTTAAAATATTTTCATGTATACGAATGGTTGAAAAATATTATTTATATTGAGCTGTATTTTCACTCGTGACTGTTCATTTCAGATGCATTCAAAAATGTACCAAATCCCTGTGTAAACAACCCACAGAGCCAAGTTTACTTCCCCCACCCATCTGACAACTCTAAATTCATTCAGTGTGACAGATATGGACGAATGTACATCATCCAGTGCCCAGAAAATCTCGTCTATAGTTCAACAACAAGCACATGTCGTCAAAGCGGCGGGTCCATCGTTACATCGGGACCAACAGTTGCACCCGTACCAGGCACTCAGCCAATAACCAATACTGGCGATAACCCTTGCACACCCGAAGCCCTCGCTGCAGGGAACATCTACTTTGCTGTTAAAGGTAAATAGATAACCCTTCAGCTCTAGTTTTACTTCTAATTATCTTGTCTTCTTTTATCAATTTTCATTAAACGAAACTGTCGTAAATTTGAATATTATCAAAAGAACTGAACTGTTGAACATTCTTACATTTTGAGGAATATATTTTACATTATATATTATGTAAACATGAACTTAAATGAGGAAAAAGAAATAATCAGCATTCACTAAAAGATCCTGTATGTATTAATGAAGGATGTAACAAGTGAAATTTTGTGTATATATGTGTATAATTATTCTTCTAAAACAATTTCCAATTTCAAACATCCAAGAATATGTGCATTTTAAGTAATAACTAAAGTATATGCATTCATTTCTTAATGAAAAAATTGGCTTATACTTTATCGAAAATAGATTTCTAATTACTCTCTTTATTTACATGTAAATCGGGTAATATCTTTGCAAATAATGCTGTTTTAAACTTACAATATTGATAAATCTTCATACCATAAAAATTTAGTTACAGGATCTTTAATATGCTCACTGTTTAATAGCCACATTTTCTTAAATAAGACAAGCCTGCAGTAAACTGTGATCGGAAGTAAACGGTATTAACTTTACCTAATTAATTGTTGAGGCTTGCAGTAAAATAAAACAGTGATTCCGCATGTACACTGTGATATCGCTGAGGGCTATATAGTGATTCTGCGTGTACACTGTGATATCGCTGAGGTCTGTACAGTGATTCCGCGTTTACACTGTGATATCGCTGAGGGCTATACAGTGATTCTGCGTTTACACTGTGATATCGCTGAGGGCTATACAGTGATTCCGCGTGTACACTTTGATATCGCTGAGGGCTATACAATGATTCCGCGTGTACACTTTGATATCGCTGAGGGCTATACAGTGATTCCGCGTGTACACTTTGATATCGATAAAGGCATAAAGTGATTCCGCGTGTACACTTTGATATCACTGTGGGCTATACAGCGATTCTGCGTGTACACTGTGATATCGCTGAGGGCTATACAGTGATTCCGCGTGTATATTGTGATATCGATGAAGGCTATATATAGTGATTCCGCGTGTACACTTTGATATCACTGTGGGCTATACTATCGCTGAGAGCTTTTGTACACTAATAGTTGTTTCATGACAGTAAATGAAAGAAAGTTAAAATAATTTTGCAGGTGATGAGACCAAGTTTATTGAATGTGACATGTTGGGACATCCTAACGTTCTCCCATGCTCCTCTGGTCTTGTCTGGAACGAAAGCCGTCTTTCTTGCGTCTACAAATTCCAAGGATCAGGATCAGGATCTACCGGGACTGGCACCGGAACTGGAACTGTAACCGGAGGAACTGGTGGTACTACAGGTATGCTAAAATTCTTATTACAAAATTTGCGGTGAAAATTATTGGTTTTGAAACTTAAAACTAAATATGTAGTACATGGAATTTAAGAACCGATATTGTAATTGTTCCTCTTATTTTTATTCCGGTTTCCTGTCATTATTATACAAATAAAAATTGTACATTACGTTTTAATACCACTAGCAAACTGTTTGTGACAAGTCAAGTCAGTTGATTTCTGCTTTTAGGAACCGGAACTGGTACCGGTGGCACTGGCACCGGAAACCTTGCAAACCCATGCACACAGGAGACAATCGCCGCCAACAAACTGTTCTTCCCTCACCCAGACTCCACAAAGTTCATCCAATGCGATCTCTGGGGTGATGTGTTCGTAGTCAGCTGCCCAGCCGGTCTTATCTGGAACCAGTACTCCGAAACCTGCGCCTCTGCATTTGTAAATGTAGGAAATGTAGGAAAATAGACTAATCTAATCAATAGTGTCTCTCTCTCAATAAAAAAATTGTGATTCTCAAAATGTATAGCGTATCTGTTCAGTTCATGTATACTGCGATATTTATTTCATACTATAAAGGTATTTTATATTCATAGTGTTGTCAAAATTGATATTTGTTCGGCAATAAAAATATATGTTTCACTAAACTGGTGTGTTTTAGTAATTCTTCATTTCAAGAACAGGGGGCATTTTTATGATATTATTATGATACCCTAGTTGCGCTAGGTGCAGATAAGTGAGCTAACTGGTCAATAGCAACTTTTCGGCCCTTTCCGTCAATTTTCTGAATTTTAGTAATTATCGTCGAGGTGTTCCGATTCGTTCCGATTGCCAACTGACTATCACGGATCTTTATATAGATCCGTGTCGGCTATATACGACAGATGGGCTTTAAAACAACAACACCAATACTTTGAGACGTGTCATAACATCACAAGTATAGCATATCCAAACCTGCTAGGAATTTCTTCCAGTTACACCCCTGTTGTTACACCAGCTGACGTCTTAGTACTAGAAGAATAAAATTTAATTATATTTGAGCCGCGCCATGACAAAACCAACATAATGTGTTTGCGACCAGCATGGATCCAGACCAGCCTGCGCATCCGCGCAGTCTGATCAGGATCCATGCTGTTCGCTTACAGACCCTATAACAAGTAAAGAAACTGACGCGCAGGCTGGTCTGGATCCATGCTGGTCGCAAACCCATTATGTTGGTTTTGTCGTGACGCGGCTCAAATAGATATGCATACGGCGTATCTTAGAAATGATAATATAAATACACTATAATCTAAATATGACGTAAAATTATATAATTAGGAAAATCTGTGAACATTATTTAAGTATACATGACATTACTTAAGTATACATGCAGTTACTATTAATAAGTAATTGTCAACACTGACACAACAACTTATTATAAAGTAAGCTACATTTGACTATATGAGTACTTATCTAATAAGTGATTGCATTCTCCGTGGGGTCCACATCATAACTGTCATTCTTTTAAATCTTGAGCAACTGCTCATAACCATGAGACATTAGTTTAGTTTATACAAATTTATTTTAGTTCGATTGTGTTGGAAGCTATAAGCTAATTGAAACATTCTCGAATCCGTTCCTGGAACCAACCAGTACTAAGCAATGAATGTAAAGTTTCCAACGGCTTGTCCCTGATAGGGTTTGAATTCACGCAGATTACTAACCATGAGACATTGAAGTGGTGGCATAACCGAGTGGTTAACGTGTAAAACTGATAATCTAAGGATCATAAGCTCTATGTGTTTAAACCCCGTCAGGGTCAAGACTTTGTTTTCTTGAAACTTTGCATTAATGATTCAGTACTGGTTGGTTCCAGAAAGGGATTTGAGAGTATGTCTTTAAGCTTAAAGCTTCCTACATAATCGAAGTAAAATAAATTCAGTATTTAACTTATAGGACAATGTGTCACGCGAAAGGATCGTTGTGGCGCCGTTAAATGTCGCAACGTCGCTAAATGTCGCACTTACCGCTAAATGTCGCACCAATACCGCTTCATGTCGCAACTGCCGCTAAATGTCGCAAAATCATTTTCCGTTAAAGATGTCGCAATGTTAACGTTAAATGCCGCACGAATTTCCGCTACCGTTCAATGTCGCAACACTACCGTTAAATGTCGCAAGATATAAATTCATGTTAAAATCATGATTCAAAGTAGTAGTATTTTAATTAACAAGAGCTGTCCGTAAGACAGCGCGCTCGACTTTTTTAGTGCTTGCCTATAATACAAAACATTGACAGTTAAGGGCCATAATTCAAATAAAATCTTTGACAGAATTACCTTCTCCTGGACATGTTTGGGAATCATGATTGTAAACAAGTATTCCAACTTTCAAATTAATATCTCAAACAGTTCAGTCAAAAAGTGGACTGGTACTAAAAACTTAACCAAGATTCTAAGTCGATAAAAGGCCTTAATTTTTAAAACAAATCCTTGACAGAGTTACCTTCTCTTGCGTACAGATGGGGGTAATGATGTGAAATAGCATTAAAAGTTTCAAAGCAATATCTCAAAGGGTTAAGGCAATAAGTGGATTTTACCCATATTCAATGTATTTTCTAAGTCAAAAAGGGGCATAATTCTGTCAAAAACCTTGACAGAGTTATGTCCTCTTGTCTGTTGATGAAGGTCGTGATGGTAAACAAGTATGGTCAGTTTCAAAGCAATACCTCCAATGGTTTTGAAATAAAGTGAGGGTGGTACAAAAACTTAACCAAGATTCTAAGTCGATAAAAGGCCTTAATTTTTAAAACAAATCCTTGACAGAGTTACCTTCTCTTGCGTACAGATGGGGTAATGATGTGAAATAGCATTAAAAGTTTCAAAGCAATATCTCAAAGGGTTAAGGCAATAAGTGGATTTTACCATATTCAATGTATTTTCTAAGTCAAAAAGGGGCATAATTCTGTCAAAAACCTTGACAGAGTTATGTCCTCTTGTCTGTTGATGAAGGTCGTGATGGTAAACAAGTATGGTCAGTTTCAAAGCAATACCTCCAATGGTTTTGAAATAAAGTGAGGTGGTACAAAAAACTTAACCAAGCTCAATACACTTTCTAAGTCAAAAAAGGGCCATAATTCTGTCAAAAACCTTGACAGAGTTATGTACTCTTGTCTGTAGATGGAGGTTATGATGGTGAACAAGTATGGTAAGTTTCAAAGCCATACTTGTAATACTTCTGAAATAAAGTGGGGTGGTACGAAAAACTTAACCAAGGTGTGACGCCAACGCTAACGCCGACGCCGACGCCGACGCCGACGCCGGGGCGAGTAGGATAGCTCCCCTTTTCATAGAAAAGTCGAGCTAAAAACGCTATCATAGTTATTTTTACTGTAATTGCCATTTAACAAAAATTATCTTTGTTTTAATTGTTTTCTTTTATGAACCTAAATATCGAGGATTTGAGCTGCTTTATTTTTTTTGTTTGTTTGTTTCATTTTACGCCTTTTTCAACAGTATTTCAGTCATATAGGCGGGTAGTTTCCTAACCATCGTTCCTGGAGAGTTTCACCAGTACTAGACTACCTTCCTCCGCGCTTAAGAGCTGCTTTATAATGTAATATTGACGTTAGAAAGCGTATTCTAGAAAGATACAATTGAAATTTTCAGTTTTCAACAATAAAAACTTACGTCGTAATGTGTTACATCATGGCGCCATTTATCATTCTTGTATGTATGAAATAACGTCAGCTTGTTTGTGAATGAGTTGTTTACTTAGGATGACGTCATTACGCTGCTTACGGATTGGCGCCGTTTTGTCAATATATTTATTAACTGATATGGATCTAATATGTGGCGTTAGTGTATGTGAGATATTATTTCGGTATTGTATGAAAAGAAAACATTATACGAACTGAAAATATAAATAAAAATACATTTAATTGTTGCTTTAAAATGCTTTGTAAACTATACAATCGAGGGTGAAAACATAACAGCGCATATACAAGTAGTCCCTAACCGGTGTTTATTGGCAGTTTAACACCAGTTTTTTCCTTCTTTGTCTATAGTGGCAAAATCACGTGAGTGTTAGAATCATGATTAAAAGTAGTAGTATTTTGATTTAAAACGCTCTCATAGTTATTTTTACTGTAATTGCCATTTAACAAAAAGTATCTTTGTTTTAATTGTTTTCTTTTATGAACCTAAATATCGAGGATTTGAGCTGCTATATAATGTAATATTGACGCTAGAAAGCGTATTCTAGAAAGAAACAATTGAAATTCAAGTCTCAATAGATAAGTATTTTTCGTTTGTCTCCCTTTTTCATTTATAACCCTGATTGACAACATCTTAAAAGTATTATGATATTGTCGCGATCAAAATTCGGTTTAAGTAATTTCCTTGATTTGAAGACCTTTTTTCTTGCTAGTACTAATAGTAATACAGTCATACTAGGGCGGTTTAAGCCCCATTTACACAGTCCCGGTACCATGATCAACCGTGGTAAATCGGCGTTGGGTCGTTGAAATTCCGGGAAGTAAAGGGACAAACCATGGTGAACCGTAACAAACTGAGAGATCACCACGGTTGTATTCAAATGTTTAATACAACCGGGGCTCACCGGCACTCACCGAGAGGAAGCCCAAATCCGTGTTTCTATCGGCTTGGAACAGGGCATTGCCGGGAAACCACCGTATCTATACTGCATCCATAACGTGACAAATCGTAGTAAACCGGGATGCGTATCAATCAATGTCCAAACGGCAAAGTCCCGGTGATGACACGATGTTGCCACGGTAAAACAGGCAGAGCTACGGTAGGGCCAGGGTGGCAACAACGCTCCGATTGGAGCCGGTAATGTCCCGGATATTGCAGACAAGTACGGTTATACAACGATGATAGACGGTGGTGTAACGACCTCATGCCGATACAGGAAATTTAAAGAACAGGAAAATATAAACTTGAAGTGCTACTTTGGATCATTTTGTTTAGAGAAAGAACACGAGCATGGATAATTTGTTAAATGAGAGAAGGAAAAATTCTTCAGCTGGTGCATTTTCAGCTTCAGGTACCTCAACCTCTGAAGGTGTTGTAGACACAGTTTTTTTTTTCTAACTTCCATCCCCTTTCCTTCTTTCTCTGCTGTCTTTTTACCAAATGACTGATGTCAACGTGGTCAGTCAGTTTTATTCTCATAAACTTGAACAGGAAGCATCGGTGTATTACCAGGGCGTCACCGGCACAGTACCGGCATCACCAAAAGCATTACCGTGGCAAAAACGGCGATGGTCGGGATGGACCGTGATGAAACCGTGTCTAGTCGGGTTTCCACCGGAATCAAGCGGGAATACACCGATTTAGCATCGGCGCTTAACGTATATATCCGGTGCTATATCGGGTTCTGAACCGGGAATACACCTGGGCTCTGTCCGGGATGTGTAAACGCAATTTGATTTCTCAGAAAAACACCACGGAACACCTCGGTTCACCAGCTTAAGACACAGTAGCGATACCGTGGCCATTACCGGGACAGTGTTTATTTGGGCTTTATCAAACGGAACCTGCAACATTTTCAATTTTGCCGTTTTGGACTTTCTTTAGGGGTTCTTTTTTTGTCTATTTTATCAATGACTGATGTTCCTCTACACACATCTGAACAACTTAAGT